ATCATCTTCCTCTTCCTCCTCTATCAGCTTGCATGTGTCCATCGAGATCCATTCCTTATCTTCTTTCTTCTTCCTTCCTAATACGTTCATGCAGGTTTCTTTCCACATCTCTTTCAAAGACTTCCAGTGTTCTTCCACTCAGCTTTCCTTGCAGATGTTGTTCAATGTCTCCCATTTCTTCATCATGACTGATGGCTGACGTGAAGATGTTCTCTCCTCTGCACTTTCGTCCTTCAGTTCACTTTCTGCTCTCAGTGTTCAACTTGAACTGTGGTCGTCTATCACCACCGGCCTCTCTCAAGGCTTGCAACTCGATTTTGAAGGTTCCTTGTACTAGATACTAGATAGTGGTGTGAACCTACATCTCCTCCTCTTCTTCATCTTGTGTCCAGTAGGCTGGCTGCATCTCACTCAACTTTCTGTATATTCAGATGAAGTCTATGTGATGTTTAGTGTGTCCTGGTGTCTGATGAAATCCATGTCGGTCACTTTGTGAATATCCCTGTGTTTGTACATAGTGCCTCGAATCACCGAATCGTTGAATGTGCACAAGTCTACAAACAGTTCTTCATTCTCATTGATTTCACTGAGTGTCTCTCGATTCATGATGAGTTCTGTTGTTGTGTTGTCGACGCCGAGTTTGGCATTTATGTCACCTCACCGATTAGAATGTATTTGATGTGGCCAACTGTGGTGGGGTGTTGTTTTGTACTGACTGTAGTTGTCTGTAGAATTCCTCCTTCTTCTCTTGATCTGCATTATTTGTAGGTGCACGGTGTAGCGTAGTGTAGTGTAGCGTAGCATTGTATGATTGTGACCTTCCTTCCTTTTGATTTGAATCTTGCTGTTATGATGTTGATGGTTGAGGAGACTGGTTCCTACTGCATGAGAACCTTTGATGGACTTGGAGGGGACATCATGATAGTCACTGGAAAACTCAATGTGCTTGTGTTTGTCGTCTTGGTGACAATATCGGAGTAGATTATTGACTCTCGAGTTAAGAGTTGTGAGAGTCCCCTTCCATTCCATCTACTTTCGCAAATTCATAACACTTCCATGTCATACCTCCTCATCTCGTTTGCAATCTGGACATCCTTGGAAAGTTCATACATTGTGTGGACATTCCATGTCCCCACGTTTACTTTCGCTTTGATGGAGAGAAGCGAAGACACATCGGCTAATTGGCTTTCAGAAGGCTTTGACCAATCGGCGTCATTTCGTCTGTCGGATTCCATTGAGGAATAGTATTGTTTTTCTTCGTAATATTTTGTTTGTGCTTAGAAGTTTCTTCAGTGGTTTGATTTGTTTACTGGGGTAGGGTTGCTAGGCCTATGCCCAACGTCTCCTCTTTTTCCGGGATTAGTAACTATTGAACTAGTCACCTTGGCGGGATTAATCCTACGATTACATTCACTATATCAGATTATGCAGGTATATTTTGGACCAATGATGTATAAAGTCAACTGTAAGACTGAATTAAAAGAATCACCTATTCCATCCAATTACAACCAGTCAAAGTTACATGAAATTATCGATGTGATTAACTCAGGAATATAATGGAAACGTAAAAGAATCAATAATTCAACTTCTTGCCAGTTGCTTGATACTGGATATGATGGGCACATTGAAACTGGCTTGGAAATGAATAACCCTCCTTCAGTCTACAAAAGTTATCACTTGTGAAAGCCGTTGGCCTGATTATTGTATTTAAAGATATTCTCAAGTAGTTAGTTCACAACTACCTTGGTGAGAAATTAAGAGACTGTTGCTATTATCCTGTGACCTACCAGGCCGTTTCTTTACTTACTTGGTACTGATTACAACTTACTCGTTGTAGCTGTATTAAGCACTTGATTCTCCGCATTCAGTTGTAACTCTTATCTTGAGAATATTTGGATTAGAATATTTGTCCCGTCTTGTATGCTTAAGGAATTCACACGATGAGTTGTGCCATTCAGCGCTCCCCTGCAACCTCATATCACAGTATTCAAAGTCTATGCTTATTGTCCTTATACTTAGGGCTGTCTGATTCATCTGTGTGTGTGTGTGTATACAACTAAATTACATGACCAGAAAACACTATGATGAGATTCAGCTTAATAATGGATTGATTTCATTCAAGATGCAGTGATCCTTTCCAAATTACCATAAGTTATACAGAAATGGATTATGAGTCGGTTGAAAGCTCTCGAATCAAGCGCTCGAGAAAATAATGCTAACAATTGTGTCATAAATGAAATGGATTAAGGATTCAAAATTTCAAAGTATACGATTCTTTATTCATTTCATAACTTGACTGTTGATAGCTAGTAAGTGGCTGATGAGTAGGCATCGAAACAAAGTGTATAGCGGGGAAATATGTCCATATTATGCTAATCGAATTTGTAAGATGAATTAAATATATGACACAACATTATATTTAGTATAAGAATCAAGCAGCCGATGAGGATACATACAAGAAACCATTTTTTTTTCACTTATTTGTAGAAGAATATATATCCGATGTGTTTTTATACTCGGCGATACTCAATTGTTTGAAAATGTGGCAACCCTTTCATCGAATCTTTGTTTTAGAATTTAAAGTTATCAGAGAATAACATCTAAAAATCACAGTTGGCACCAAAATTCAATTGACTGATTACACATTTATGATGGAATGGATATTAACATTTGTATAGAAAACAGACATTTAGATCAATTCTGAGATGTTGTTAGGACTGTTGCTAGCTGATGTATACATGTCATATGTTGAAAACATGGCTGACGATCTCATTGGAAGGGTTTCACTTTATAAGAGATATGTTGATGATATAGTCATTATATGTGAAAAGCCTGATAATGTAATGTGCCTGCTACAGAAAATGAACACAGCTCAAAATCACATTAGCCTGACTTGTGAACAAGAGACGAACAACCAGCTACCATTCCTAGACGTATTGCTCAGTTGATGGGAGGATGGCTCGATCAGGAGGTCGATCTATAAGAAACCTACATAGACAGGGCAATATCTTAATCTCCATAGCTATTGCCCAGTCCAATATAAACGTGGTTTAGTCAGATGCTTATTCAACAGGATAAACCGTATCTGCACCGATAATACCAGGGAGGAAGAAACCAACTTACTGACGACAACTCTGACACAGAATGGATACCCGCTGAGATTTATCGACCGGTGCAAAAGTTATGTACCATTGAAAAGTACACAGTGTTCCGTTGCTGAGAAAAATGTCCACATCTCATTACCATTTAGAGATGATTCACATAGCTTTGTTGTGAAGAAAAGACTTAGATCGACCATCTGTAAAACGTATTATGCAGCTAGGGTCATCATTGTAGAGAAGACAAAGTCCATGTTACAGCACAAACCGAAACAACATATAAACGATTGCATCACATCCCAGTGTGTTTATGAATTTACATGTATGTGTGGACACACATATGTAGGGAGGAGTAATCGTGATATGCAGTTCAGGAAGGTTGAACATGTACCTAAGTGGCTACAAAAACAAATGACCTCAACAGATCCGATAAGTGCAGGTGACAAACATCCATCTTCGTGTATCGCTAAACATATACTAGAAACTAACCATAGGATAGACATGAAAGGCAACAGCCTTTAAAGTACTACATAGAAGTGGTCAGAGCCGATTGCTTAAATTTATTGAAGCTCTTGTCATCCGTAAATTTAAACCCCCGCTTTATGTATACAAAAACAATTCGTACTCACGTTGAACCTACCTTGGTAGTATTGATTTTAATTTTCATACCAAGAGTAAAGTTTTTCTACCCCTTCCTATTCCTCTGATGTTTCCTATTAACTTCATTGACCTTTTTCGTAAATTTTCATATAAATAGTTCGACAAGTCCATGTGTGGGGGATCAGATTGTTCGAAATGTATAGCGCTAATACATCACGACATATTTCAGATAATCTACGTCTTCTCATTACGCTGTTTAAATTTATCAAAGGGACCAGTTGCTTTAAATTCTGAGATGACTGACTTTATCTAAGGGGGTAATAAACTTTGAAGTCAAACTGTTTCACTGTTTCATCTCATGGATAAAGGGAAAATGTTCTTCTGAAATTAAGGATTTTAGTTAAAATATGCGATAGGAAGTAGCCTAAACTGAAGTGGACAGTCAAGGTCATCAGTCTTCAAGGTAGAAGTTTTGGATTGTAACCTTGGCTTCATATGAGCGGGAAAATTTGACCATCAGGTGAACAATGAGAATAGATATCCAACTTTCTGATGTTTTTCTTTTTTGTGAAGTGAAGTTGTTTGCCTTACAGTAAGTCATATATCGGTCTTTATCTTCTGATTTTCGCTTCTCAGTGAACTATCAGGTGTCGTATCCAGTCCCATTGTCTCATTGTCTCATATTATTCTCTCCGTCAGTTGTACTCGAACATCTCAAATGAAATATGAACTAAATTACTAAGATAGGCTAGTTTTTCAGTCAACAACATCAAATGAATGATTTTGTAGACGATTAGACAACCATAGATAGATAGATAGATAGATTTAAACTGTTTTCTCTTCTTTTATTCCTCCAGCATCACAATTAAATCAGTTCAAAGAAACTTTACAATCTAGTACTATCAGTCTAATTGATGAAATCATTGTTTTGTATCTTTTATATGTAAGAAAATATAGTTTGTTTCTTGAATGTTACGTTGTCCAACTAGATAATGACTGATAATTCAATGTTGAGAAAGTAACTGTCTATCTCGAAATCTTATCTAAATCAAAGTTGAATATCTACATATTGAAAAATAAGTAATCCATAGGAATATATCAACTGATTGACTTCTTCTGTAGTCGATATAAAGCCTATTGACAACTATGCATACATGAGTAGTACACGTTTAAATCATATTGGTGATTAGTTCAAACAAATAGGAATCACCTTTGACATGTAACATCAAATGATAATATTATTTATTGGTACTTATTTGTAATTTCTGTTTGTTTTAATGGATCCAATTGCCTAACCTCAAGTTGGTAGGTTGGTGAGTGATGGTGTTACCAGTGAGGTAGTTTAAGGACGAAACATACATCGTGGATTTCACTCCAAGCTACCAATAAATAAATCATGACAATGTTTATTCAAGTAATATCAACATATCTATCTATAGAAGAGCATATTTATCAAAAAAGAGATTGAACAGTTTGATTCAATTGTAACAATGAATGATTACAAGTAAGTATATGAATAATATAATGATAACTAATACCCATTGAACAAGAGATGACTATCATAGCTAATTGATCTAGTGAATGATACTCTAATGTTTTGAGTAATGATTGACTAATGTTTCAGTCTTAACGGAAACACCACCATTCATTAGAGTCTAAATATATCCAGCTGATGAGTTGTAGATTGAACGAAACACACATCTTGTAATCCACTAGTAACCAGTATCAAGTAATTGAAATAATTGTAAATCAATAATAAAAGGAATAGATTATTATAAGTTTTATCTCTTTTTCTCTGTTGTTTTTCTTGTTATTACATTTTAATAGACTTTTTTTCGGAAGTGACAGCTACTTACTGCTTACTTGTAAAAAGAGAGTAATTCTTACCATAGATAGATACAAGTAAATCAAATGAAGTCACATGCAATCTGAAACATATACTTATAGAAGAAAAACAAACGTGTAAAACCCAGTATAGACTACTGTTGTTTTGTTTTTTTTTCACATAAAAAGCCTGAAAAACATATGTGTATAAGGGGGGGGGTGTTGGCGCAGACACCTAAACCGATGAGTTTGATCATCCTTTTCAAGTATTGAACACATTCTTTTATGTAATAATTGAAGGCATTGAACAAATCGACGTCATAACTTATGCAGAGCGCGAGAGAAATAGACAGGCAGACAGACAGGCAGATAGACAGACAGAGGATAATGCCTTTCTATACTTCAAGTTGTTATTCATCGTGGACTGACATCAGTTGGAGGAACAAAGGAAACCTGAGAGCACTGGGCAGCTGTTTCACCCAACTAGTATGGGACTCCTCAGCAGTGCGCGCCCACGACCCCACACCAGCAGGGATCGAACCCGTGACCTTCAGGTTCCATTGAGCCACCTTTCTATACTACTCACTACATACTCATTACATGCAATGGTTATAAAGTTATAAAGTTATTGCTTACTTCAACTGTATTAACCTCTATTAGTGTACTGTTAAGACTAGAGGCCTTGTATGTAGCGTTTCTTTTTCTCAAGTCATTGAACAATTGAATATAAATTTTGTTCTAATCAAGATTAGTTAGTAAACAAAACTGTTGTCATCCTTTGCTTTGTCAAGTGGACTCATGCTTTTTCCAGATTATTATCATTATTATTATTATTATAAAATTTATGAAGTATCTTTTCAAAAAAAGATTGACAGTTTCACTTAGTAAATGCTTTTTATTTACTGTATTACATAATACCTTGTGATTTATTGGTTACCATAGGAATAGTTGTAATAGACTGTTATGAAGTCTTGGCTTTTTCATTAACTGATTATTTTCACATCAAGTTAGATATGATAACTTGTAGACTTTCTTACAGTTACTGAATTTTGTATTTAAGTTTTTCTTATTTAGATGGAAGCATTTCGAAGGAAACCCTATTTGACTTAGGTTTCATGTCTTTGTTGACACTCATCAACATGGCGTCATCTAGTACTTCAATCAGAGAGAAGCTATCACTGAGCTACCTGGACTACAGTTCACCTCTTGGAGGATTCGGTTAGGAGGTACATTGATTGATCATTAGAGAGTATCCAATTTCATGTTGTCTAGTTATGAGTGTTGACTGAATACTATAATGATGTGACTCTTTACAACGTGCAAATGTGTAGTGAATATTTCAACATTTTGGTGTTAGCTAATATCGGATCAAGCTATGAGAAGACTTAAGGTGACTGTTGACCTGATACGTGTAAAGACGTGTAGGCTTGTAAATCTCCATCGTTGTTTTGATTGAATTGGGGTATACGCTCCTACACGAATGCCTTGGTCATAGGGATAAAACGAAATTACTCTCTACGAGATAGACATATCGAGCTGACGAATCCCAAGGGAGAAGAAATACATGCTTCAGATTCCACTGGCAACCATTGGTAATATCATAAAAAGGAGATTGGAAATCCTTCACAAAGCCTGGAACTTCCACCTTTGTCGATCTTAATTTCACCGTTTTTTTTTCTATATCGCCTGAAAAGTGAAAAACGTGTATCATTAGTCTTATTATTCTATTTACTTTAAAATTTATTTGATTTATGACCCAGTTGTCAGTATTATTCTATGGTTCGCTCGATTCAAAAGCTTTCGACTGACTCTTTATCTATTTTTATATGACTTACATTAGTTCAGAAATAAGCACTGAATGCTGACTGAAATCAATCCATTATTGTTCATTATTTCATCTTTTCACCTTGTAATTGGCTGCTTTATCGTTACAAATTATGGTGCGTTGTGGTCAGGTAATTCAATTTTATCCATGCATATAGATGAATTTGGGCAGAATTACATGACTCATTGTATGAGTGTGTGGATTGACCAGACAGGGAAAGTATATTCTAGACCAATCACATTCAAGGTCAACTTTATGAATGAGTAGGCAGAACCATGTGTCTAAGCCAATTACAACCATGAAAAGTTATGACGATTAGACCATACTTATATATATATATATATATATATATATATATATATATATATATATATATATATATTACTGCACTGCAGTGTCAACGAGAAATGTGTATGACCCATTCGTGTATACAGTCCAGTCCCATGATGCGGTCAGTCCTGACCGAAATGACTTACAGGTTAAGTGTCTCTAACTAAAGCACTGAGCGACACAATTGCAAATCCCCGAATGAAGATAAGTTAATTCATGGATGTAGATATGCTTTGTTGACGAGTGCCAACAAACAAGAAACCTAGATTCAGGACTTCCTATCTACCAATAAGTTAGAATAAATGAAGTAGCGATGAAGATAAAAATAGTTCAATGGTAACGTAATTAATTACAATACTGAATGATACGGGTTCAAATTTCAGATGAGATATTGGTTCCATCGAAGTTGCCGATATACGTTATTGACGATTAGTAAAATGCGCAAAACTGAGGTGTAGCAACACTTCCTTTTGATTCTCTTCGGCTAGTTAACACAATCATAAACCTTCAACTTTCCAAAGTACAACGTAAGATGAACTATAGTCATGGGTATAATATAGGAGATAAATATCAAAAGTCTGGGTTGTTTCTAGCCATTTCATCAGGAATCTTCTACCAGTGATTCCCATCTTCTTGAAGACCCTGATCAGGCAGTCTACACCTCCCAACATGTCACATCATATATGATGGTAACTCTGAATCAAAAGGCTACAGTATATCAAAGAGGAGGTAATGAATAGCCAGATCATTTTGCAAACTGGCACCATTTCCGATTTTATACTTACTGGCCAACAGGTTATCGCATAGCTTTCGAACCACTCAGCGTGACGTCGTCATATAACCTGATTTACACCATATTAATGTATTGTATAAGAAATCATTTCGTTTGATAGGATAAATTTCTCCCGTTAAAATCGATACACAATATTGATCTGTTGTACACATACCACTACACCGTGGCTCGTTGCATTATTTCTGATGACTAAATTTCTACCAGAATACAACCAATGATACAGTTTTAAGACTAACAATTTCGTTTAACCATTTTCAAGTTACAAGTAGCGTATGATGAAATATATAAGATATTCGAGGAATTTTGTGGAAACCAAGGCAATGCAACATTTGAGGCTAACATGAAAAATTGTAGACAAATTCAATCTTCATTTTCTAAGTGCTGAGATGAAAGAAAACAAGATACATATGCTATGATTATCAAGTTCATCGTACCATCCATTTTCTTTTGGTGTGTAATAACATTTTCTAGATCCTACAAAGCTGCCTAAAAACCGTGGAGTCTATCACAATGAATCACTATACTAAAAAGTGACTAGAGAGACAGTTAACCATACATGCAAATGTCAGATTGACTAATCAGCCGAGAGTAAAAAGAATGTCCCCGTAGAATGCCATGGGAATATATATATATATATATATATATATATATATATATATATATATATATATATATAAACATTATGTCAGCCTGGATGGAAAGAAGTGCTTCATTTGAATTTGTGTGAGTAACAATAACTGGATCTATGTATTCAGATGAATAATTCACATTTCAGTGAATATAGACACTGGCTTGTTTGTATCCAGCAATATTGGTTGTCGACAATGTGCCAAGTTACTAGTGGAAGTGAAGAAACTGATGCTTCTGCTTAGCATCTGTTCCATGAACGCCTTTCTTCAAGTAGTGTCGTATATTATCCTGAGAACGTAAATTTTGGTTTACTGTCTGTCTATTGGCTTTTCTTTTCATGCCGATTGATTCTCTCACATTCACTATGACGTCAATTGGACGAGGAAGATGAGTCATGATGTGTATCTTCCGTGAACTGATATTTCCACAGTGGTATGAAATCAGTGTGAAGTTGAAAGTCAACTGTTCAACTTTTGTTGACCTATCGGTTTCTATGGTGTACCCAGCACTATGCACACGATGCTGCCAAACGGTGGGAGGAGAGAAGAACTGTACACACGGAAAGTGGACTTCACTGATTGTTGATCGTCTATCAGCCAGCCATCATCATTGTGTGGATTACCTTGACCAAATGAAGATGTACTCTGTCATGAGACATGGGACTTTGTGTCAGGTAGATGAATGTTAAACTTGTCACTTGTAATTGTCACAATAATGCCTTTCACCAGCTTGATTCTCTGAACTCATGGCAGTTGAATTTTGATGATTCATGATGGAACATGAGTGAGTACTGTGAGAGTTGTCGATTTCTGAAATTATCTATTCAACAAGACATTGAAAGTGAGTTTCCAGGTTGTGTTCATGAGTAGTGAGAGATCTGCATTCAACTTAGTCTATGCATCAGTATGTGATGTCATTGAAGTTGGGAGGAGAGGTAGCTTAAAACACTTTGCACTGACATACATAAAATGGTAGTTTTTGGAGAGACCTGATAAAGTAACAGAGATGGTTAAATGTGCCTGTATTACAAATGTTATCAGCAGATGCGTGTGGTTAAATGCAGATGAATAGGTTGAGAAAGAGAGAATGGAGAGATGCGTGTGTGAAATAGGCAGTGACTAGATGAAGAATGAATTTTGAGTGGTGTTGTGTGGTGTGGTGTTGGGAGGGGAGGGGAAGGGAAGGGAAGTGATTGGTGTGTGACGAAAGTGTTTTTAAGCATCAGTTGTATACTGAACGTTAAGCTGACGATGATCTACTCCTCTGTCAGGCTTGTCTTTTTATGCAAGATAAAACTAATGCTGAGGATTATGCATTGCAGTGTATTAGCCTTTCACTTACTCTTCACTGTAATTCACATTCAATTATGAGTGTCTCCAATCGAGAATATTTACCTAATCAACTTGTGACACAGTTAACCTTCTCAAGAGTCGTGGTGATCATCCACTGATCTACTGACATTTTCCTCCTTTCCACACAACTATACCCTGTCATCCTGATAATATTGTTTGCGAGTAAATTAGTGTTTTGGAGGGATTGATAAATTCCAAGGGTGGCGTTCATCACAGTCTGGCATCATTTGGTGAACAGCTGAGAAGAACCACGGAACACTTGTCAGTCTAGTTCAGGATTCATCTGCAGTAGACACCAAGATCTCATGGTGAGCATATCACCAGTGAGAAACTGCGTTACAGTTCAC